GAATAGCTCACTTGTGAGCTTAAACAGGTAAAATTTAGCAGTCCGAGGAGTCTCCACCGTAAGAACAAATGAACCTGGTTTAGGCAAAGGATCCGCTTGAGATTTTACGATCAAACGAGCTTGAATCGTCTAACCAGTGGTTTGTCTCAAGCATTTCATTGAATCTCCATAATTGCCCATCTCTTCCAGTTGTGCCATAAAACCCTTTCACATATTTATACAATCCTATTTGAAAACATGATCGCAGAACAACCTCGGGAAACGAACTTCACTACACCATCATACCTTCAAGTATCTGTGATTTTCCCCGCTCTCTTTCCCTCTTCAAATGCGTCCATCGATGGAACTGTATTCTCCCTGTTGTAATAACAATGCACTAGAAATTAGAGATAGCTTATTGAATAGGTTGGGGCAAAATCAGACATCAAGCGGATAGTGTCTAGTTCAAAAGAAATCTGAAGCCATTAATTAGAAACTCATATTCTTCCAACTCTTCCGTGACCGGGATTAGCCATTGGAATTAACCGCTCACAACATTGAAGGCCACTGGCTACGACCCATAACTCCCTCCCCCCCCCCCCCCCCCCCTTCCTCCACCAAACACACTAAAGAAATAAGAAAGAGGTGACCATAGGTGCAAGCACATTTATTACCAAAAATTTATATTGCCTGACGATAGACAAAAAGGATACACGGAATGTATCAAAATTTTGAGAAAGAGTGCAATGGTTGTAGATCGCGTTACCAACCTATGTACATACAATGAGCCCATACGTGTCAGCAGAAGAAGAAATTACTAAGAGTACATGAAGAAGGGGAAATGATAACGAAAGAAGAGCCTAACCGGGGTGGGGGGAATTAAGCATTACAAACCTAGACGTTTTGCCAATCGCTGCCTCACTGTCTTGCTCGATTTACCCCTTCGAGCTGAAACGAAAAAGGCAGAGATATATATAAATGGGGGCGATTTTATTCTGTAAAGGGGATTAAGCCCTTGGGTCCCCCTTTCAACGAATATGACCCTAGACACTTACTTTATTACTCAAGGAAGTAAATGACCTTGGGAAATAGTAGAGTCCATAAGGGGGTCAAGGAAAGGGAGCCGGGCAGTGGTTGAGAACAATTTTTCTTTCATTTTGACTCTACTGTATATCGAATGGATGGTTAATTCACTCTTTTAAACACCAAAGTTTTGGATTCACGATGTGTCCCCTGGATTGCTGATGAACTCATCGTCCACGATGAGATTATTGACCATTCGATTAATTCAGAGAGTTGACTATACACTTTCAGAATATGTTTTTCGCCTAATGGTTTAAAATAGTAGAATGGCACCAGCTTAAATAATATTACCGTAGTAGGGGTTATTAAAGTAAAGCCAAGGCGAACCCCAATTCATTATTAGTAAAACCAAAAAAAAACTAAAATAGTATGTAGGCCGAAAAAAATAAACAACTACTGTGAAAGTTTACGGAGCAACAGAACCCCTTACCAGAGTATTTTGTCATTGGGAACTAGAGCATAGGACCATGTAGGGGAGAACACATTTGATTTCAAATGAATCACTCACCAGAACTAGAATTTTGGATGCTTGTACCTCCTGGAAGAGAAGGCGATGTCTGAAAGGAAAATTGAATGGCATTTAGACCCATGAGATAAAGGACACATTTATACAGGTGTTCGGGATAAGTCCGACAGTCTCTTCAGGAAACAGGAGCAAGGTGATTTCGACCTTTCCCTGGGAAGGGTCTAACAAACAATTTCTATTCTGTCCATTAACTAGGTTCAATTATACTACCGTGGTAACTGGTGCCTTTCTCCACGGAATCTAAGACATATCAATTAGCCAATCGGGTTCATAAACCAGGGCTTAATTATAGTGGTCAGGCGTTGCAGTTGGGTAACACATCACCTTGTCAAAACCCGTATATGAATGGAGAAGGGTTTAGAGTTTTAAAGGAAGAGTGCAATGCGCCCGAATGGCTTTAAAATGTCTGAAAATATAACCAAATATAATTCTCAAAGATAGATACATGCGCACTTACTAAGGAATGATGAGTGCTAGTGGGCCGTGAAACATTGAGGATATGTGCAAAAGGGGGGTGCGAAGGACGCTTTGAGGATGAATTGGAACGTCTCCTTCTTGCGAGAGTTGAGTCTTAAATTAAGACAAGGGGAAAAACAATTTAATTATTAAAAGATATCTATAAATGTCTACCAAGGTGTTTAAATAATGAATCCTGGTGGATTATAAAAAATGTGTTCCCTTAACTGTCTTCATTTTATCGTAGATGAAAAAGATTTTAAAACACTGAAAAGAAAGAAACTAAGCGGTTGTGGCAAACGATGTAGCAATGGCGATGTTTTGAAATGACTTACTTGACACGGCCGACCATGTGGGATCAGGATCATCCGATTTCTGGGAGTTCTTTGAAGAGACTTTTCGGCGTTTGCGCTTTCGTATACCATCATCCATCGATTCCGTTAAGCTGAATACGTCTAGGAAAAGGAGATTGACGTTTTTAGGAGTTGCCTGTCAATAATGGCAAAAGCAAAGAAAATCCAAGCGAATCTTATCTGACAATTTTGACTTCTCAAGATTTTACGCAAAGTCAATGAGATATTTATGTTAAAGGTAAAATTCACTGATCTTCATTTCATGCCAATACTAGCAGAAATACACTAACTGCAAATGCACAATTTCGAATCTCAAAATGAGATAGACGATTTTAAACGCCTAGCCACTAAAATGTCAACCCCCATATCTACCAAATCAAGTTGAATTCGAGAAACTTTTGAGAAATACAACGACCAAGTTTGCTGAACTAATTGAATTTCAAAATGGTAAGAGAATTAAAGTCACTATTACTTTGGAAAAATGCCATATATGTCATAAATGCTGCATATATGAAAACAAAATTTTTCCAAAAACGTGCGAATCTTCATACTCCACTCTTTTAGTTACCACTTCTTCAGATTCATGTTATTTGAGCACATTTACACTAACCTTGTAAATGCCGCGGAACGTGAATCAATCTATCGATAGGAAAACATTAGTCTTGTTTTAACATAGTGATTCGGGTGGTGGCCCTGTCGGATAGTATCTGTAACTAGTACAATTTCTTAGTCAATCACGGCACCATACAGAGAAGAGCCTGTTAGAACAGAAACCTGCCTAACGGTCATCAGAATAAAATTAAGTTCAACTTAATTGCAATGAAAATGTAAAGCCAGAAACCTTAAGACAAGATTAATTATAGTGCTTACGAATACTCAAAACTAATACATCAATGCCCTTCATTATTCACTGCAAGTTATAACCCTTCTACCAACTTTATTTAAAAATAGTGATTAAATAAACTTACATTCATCACCAACAAGTTTACTGCTCTTCAGCTCTGGAACTGCATCGAGGACTTCGCGCAGACCATCGTCATCTTCAACATCTTCCTCACGTGAACTCTGACTATCCTCGTGAGAAAATCGACCACCTTGGGATGATTTTGGAAGTGGGGATCTAGCATATGCTCCTGAATAACCTTCCGATTCATCAACCAGAGGATCCGTAGAATCACTCTCAACTTGTTCTTCCTCTTCTTCATCTTCAGTAGTTATCCTCTGTTGGTGCTTAGATTTACGCGGTTTCTTTGTACTTCTAGCGTGGTAATAAGAGGGAGATTTGGATATGAAGGAATGAATCATTTCCTCCAATTTTGCGATCAAAGTGGGGTAGGCGTACTGGAGATATGTTCTGGCAGGGAGATAGTAGTTCCTTTCACCCTTGGGTAACTGCGAAAATTAGAAGAGCAAATTGAGCACACTTTAGAAGTATGAAAGAGATTATGATATATTTTGACAAAATCAATATTTATTTGTTTATATCAGATGGCAGGCGTTTTGATAGTTATCATTAGCCCTTTAGTTGGTGGCAGGCGTTTTGATAGATATCATTAGCCATTTAGCTGAGTCACTCAATGCCATAACATTTATTTATTTCAAAATATATATATATATATTTATTTATTTCAAATGGTAGGTTCGTTATTCATTAGCCCTTTAGTTGACTTCAGGCTCCACAGAGGGGAAGGAACATCAGAGTGAAAAAAATTCGAGAGGGGGAGCAGAAAAGAGATTCAAAGATGTAAGAGAGAGACGTAAAGGTAGAAAAAAGGTGAGACGATTAATGTGGAAGAAGTCAAATATGACATACAGTGGGGTCATGGTAGTTCGAAGTCAAC